CTGCCTGTCTGCAGCGGGCCGATTCGGCGTCCTCCGCGTGACTCAGCTACATAATATATCTTGATTCTTCTTTTTTCCCCAATCCCACCTTCCTTCAACCCCTCTTCCCCTCCTTATTTACAAAAGCTTTCTTTCCATTTTTCCTTCTATTCTCTTTTTTTTCTTTCCCCCTACCCCCTCTCTTGTTCCCCTTCCCATTTGAACATTTTCTCCCCATTTCCCAATATCTATTATGCATTTTGGCCCTTTTTTTACACTTTTGTGAATTTTTATACAATGGAGTACTACTCTGCCATTAAGAAGGATAAACTTGAGACATTTATTTCTAAGAAAATGGTTGTACCTTGAAACCATCCTTTTAAGTGAAATAAGTTGGACACACGTGTTTGAATATCACATTGTTCCTCTGGTGTATGATGTGTACTTTATCTAAAGGCCTAACTCTTTATTTTCAATAATCATAGGAAACCTGAAGAGCTGAAGGACTTAGCCCCAGGTACCAATCCTCCCTTCCTGGTGTATAACAAGGAATTGAAAACTGACTTCATTAAAATTGAAGAGTTTCTAGAGCAGACACTAGCTCCTCCAAGGTACAAAAATTTTATTTTTGTATTATTATATATAAGATAATCTATTTTATTGGTCTATTTATTGCAGATTGAAGATTCTTGCTAATTTAAAAGTGATTTGGGATTTGGGGGCCTACATGTCAGAGAAGACATGCATAAACCTTCCTCTCCAACTTCAAGCATACAAAGATGGTAGACATATTTCAAATAATTTAAAAATGCATAGCATACTTTAACATAAGAAAGTAAATTACCTGTGCTCTTGAAATAGAGAAAGAACTCATAGGGAGTGATGGGATAATGTACTGACACTGTATAACTCATCCTGAACACACCCTCACACAAGGGGTAGAGGACCAGGAAATAGATTTCAAGTAGTTAGCCAGAGGCCAGAACTGCACTGTCTATACTTGAATGACAAATATATAATCCCTTCCCCACCAGGGTAGTGTTTAGAAAGAAAAGGCATGCTACTTTTTATTGCTGTGTGACAAATTACCACAAACAAACAACACATTTTTATTATCTCAAGGATTCCACTGGTCAGGAGTCTGGGCATGGCTTACTAGGGTCTTTTGCTCAGAGTCTCACAGAGAAAAGCTGCAATGAAATTATTGGCCAGGGATGCAGTTCTCATCTGGGGCCCAGGGTCTTCTTCCATGTTCATCCAAGAATTTGGCAGAATTCCATTTTTTCCAATGATCTGACTGGGTTATGGTTTACTGTTGGCTGGGCTCAGCTTTCAGTTCCTAGAGGCTGACCCTCTGCACTGGCTGTTCAGAACATGGCTGGCTACTCTTTTCCTCAGAAACCAGCATAAGAATGTGACTCTGCTACTTACCTTGATAGGTTATGCTCACCCAGAATGACCTCTCTGATTAACTCCAAGTGAATTGATTGCCAAGCTAATCACACTCATGGTAAGCCATCATGTTCAGCAGCGGGTGGGAATTTCGAGGCCATTTGACAAACCAAGTGAGACAGGGTACCAGGACTGCTCTCTTCACCCTTAACAGTTTTGTGATTTCCAGGTTTTGTCCATGAATTATTTTACTTATTTTATATTTATGAAGTTTTAAATTTTCTTTTTCTAAAATTCCAAATATATGGAAGATGTCTATATTTTGGGGATTGATTTCTAATTCTCTTCCATGATTACAGAATTCCTTTTTAACTAAAAGTTCACTGCTATATTCTTTCAGTTAGAATTTGCCTAGAATATAATATTCTAGATTTTTCAGTCTTTCTAAAACACTTCATTTTAAGCATTTCCCTTGTGCCTAGCATATAACAACTGAGAATTGCCAGTGGGGTGCAAGAAACCAGGAAAACTTCTGGTGGAGCCTTTGAGGTCATCCTTAAGCACACAGCCAGCTTTCCCATTAGAACATTTGCTGGACTCTGAGGCTGCTCAAGTAAATGGGAAAAAAGACTAAACAGAAAACCTCTGAAAAAGAACAGGCTTTCCACAGTCCACTGAGACAAAAATTTGAGTTTAGTACCTTCCAAGGTGAGAGTTCCCTGTATAATCCAAGCATTCATATGAAAATCCCAGAGGACCAAGGGTGAATTGGTTGTAAACTAAGCCTTGACTCAGCACAACTTCTTTAAGTTAGCAGGACCAGCTTCCACTCTTACTCCTGAGCAAATGAATAGGTGCACCCTCTGGAGAAAAGGATAATTTTGAACCACTATTTTCAAATCATATATCCGATAAGGGGCTAATATTCAAAATTCTTATGAATGTCTGTTATTCAAGAAAGTAACTAGAAAAAGTAAAATAAAGGACTGTGTGATGAAAAAAAGACAATAGAACTAATCCAGTAAGTGATTCAGATATCAGAGTTAACTAAAAAGAATTTCCATATAACTATGATTGATATGTTCAAGGAAATAGAGGAAAACATGGGGAAAATACATTTAAATAATTATAGACTTTCACAAAAGAATTAGAATGTGTTTTGAAAAGAACTGAAATTCTATAACTGAAAAATGAAATACCTATAAGAGTTTAAGAATTTATGGCATGAGTTTAACATCAGACAAGGTATTGTATAAGAGATACATAGTGAACTGGAAGATAAGTATGTAGGAAATATCCAAATTGACATAATGAGAGCAAGATGAATAAAAATACATAAAAGAACATTTAGAGACATATGGGATGCAGAGAAAATTCTAACATATGTGTAATTAGGATTCCAGAATGGTCCCAGTTTGACAACATTTGTTATCCTTCATCTTTTTTGATAGTAGCCAAAAGTCTAACTACTGTAAGGTGTTATCTCACTGTGGTTTTAATTTGCATTCCTATGCTCATTAGAGATATTGAACATTTTCATATATCTTTTGGTCATTTTGGGGTCTTCTTTTGAGAAATCTCTATTCAAGATCTTTGCCCATTGATAATAAAGTTGTTTTCTTATTAGTAGTAGAGTCCCTTGTATATTTTGAATATTAGCCCCTTATAGAATATATGATTTGAAAATATTTTTTCCTAACCTATCAGTTAGCTCTTCATTCTATTAACTGTTTTCTTTGCTGTAATGAAGTTTTCAGTTTGGTGCAATCCCATTTGTCTATGTTGCTTTCATTGTTTGTGCTTGTGGGGTTATATTCAAGAAATCTCTACCAAGACCAATGTGATAGAAATTTTTATAGCAATTTTATAGTCTCAGGTCTGACATTCATTTACTAGACTATCCACTTCCCTGCATGTGCTCTTCGTGCCTTTGTCCAAAATCAACTGGCCATGGTGAATATCCAATTTTCCCAGCAGAATCTATTAAAGCTTAAATAGCACATGGTTTCTCATATATATATATATATATATATATATAGAGAGAGAGAGAGAGAGAGAGAGAGAGAGAGAGAGAGCACAAAATGGAAGATAGGAAATAGGGAGAAGATCTGTTGTTTCAAAATGTTTTAAGATAAATGCTAACTTGTTTCATGTATACTGTTGGTTTCTTTTGTTCACTGAGAAGAAAGTTTTGTCCTTTTATTTGTTTGTTTCTTCTTTGTAAGACAGAATCTTTTATGGTTTATGACTTGTACTCTGAGTAACATTTTGGCCATTCTTTTAAGATCATGATACACAGTATATTTATCCGTTTTATTTGCCAATTATTTTATTATGAAATATTTTCAGAGAATGTTTTTATATTTTCTTTATTAATACCTCTTTATTACATTAAAATACAAAAAAAATCAACTGACCATAGATGTGTGGGTTTGTATCTGAGTTCTATAACCTACTCCATTGGTCCATGTGGCTGCTTTTATGCCAGCACCATGCATTTTTATTTCCACAGGTTTTAGCGTTAAATCATGTTAAATTTTGTCAAATTCCTAATTTATATCTATTGGACAATATGGTTCTTATCCTTCATTCTTTTAATATAGTATATCAATTTATTTATTTGCATATGTTGAATCATCCTTGCATTCCAGGGGTAAATTTCACTTGATCACAGTGAATGATCATTATCTTTCATAATTGTGATGTTGTATTCAGTTTGCTAGTATTGTGTTGAGGTTCTTTACATGAATGTTGATCAAGGATATTTGTCTGTAATTTTATTTTCTTCTATTACTTGTCTGGTTTTGCTGGTAGTGCTGGCCTTGTAAAATCAATTTGTTTCTTCGTCTTCAGTTTTTTTAGACTAGTTTGAAAATGGTATTAGTTCTTCCTTAATTGTTTGAGAGGATTCAGCAGTGATGTTATCAGATCCTGGGTTTCTCTTTGATGGAAGATCTCAATATTACTGTTCCACTTTCTTTGCATGTTATTAATCTATATAGATTTTCATTTTCTTCTTGATTCAATCATAGGAGATTGTACATTCTAGAAATTTTTTGATGTCTTCTGAGTTATTTGATTTTTGGTACATAATTGTTTATAGTACACTCTTATAATCCTTTGTATTTCTCTGATACCAATTGTAATATATCTTGTTCCATGTCTGATTTTATATAGTTGAGTCTTCTTTCTTTTTTTCTTAGTTTAGCTAATGGCTTGTAAAATTCATTATCTTTTTTTAAAAGGCAATGCTTCATTTTATTAATATTTTCTATTGTTTGTGCAGTCTCTATTTCTACTGTGGTCTTTAATATTTCCCTGCCTTTACTAAATTTGGGCTTGGTTTGTTTTTATTTTTCTAGTTACTTGAGGTGTAACATTAGATTGCTTTTGAAATCTATTTTTTTTGCATTCATTTATTGCTACAAAATTCCCTCTTAGAACTGCTTTCTCTGCATTCTATAAATTTTGTTTTGCTATGCATCCACTTTTTATATTAAGATTTATTAAATGTCCCTTTTCATTTTTCTTTTATCCATTGGTTGTTTAGGAACATTTTTTTAATTTCCATATGTTTGTGCATTTTCCAAAATTTCTCCTGTTATTGATTTCTAATTGCTTATAATTATGGACAAAAAAGATACTTGATATGATTTCAGTCTTTTTAAACTTGTTAAGTCTTCCTTTGTGGCCTAATGTATATTGTATCATGCTGAATGTTCCATAGGCTAATGAGAAAGATGTGTATTCTGCTGCTTTTGGATGGAATGTTCTACAGATGTCTTTTAGGTCCTTTTGGCCTAAAGTGTAAAGTGTGATGTATCTTTATTGATTTTCTGTATGGATGATATGTCCACTGTTGACTTTGGGGTATTGAAGTCCTCTACTATTATTGTATTGCTCCCTATGTCTCCCTTCATATTTGTTAATACTTGTGTGCTCCAATGTTGGATGTATGCTATGGTTTGGATATGGTTTATTTCCCAAAGGCTCATGTGTTGGAGCCTTGGTCTCTAGTCTGGTGATGTTGACATGGTCAAACAATTAAGAGGTGGAGCCTAGTGGTAGGTAATTAGATCATGAAGGCACCACTGTCAGAAGAGATTAATGAAGATCTTGTGGGACTAGATTAGTCCTCAGGGGAATGAGTTGTGATAAGGGAGCTGGACACTTCCCTAATCCTTTTGCATGTGCTGTTGCCTTTTCTACACACACTCAACTATTGTGATGGCATCTGCCATGAGGCCCTCACCAGAGTCAAGCAGATGCTAGTGCCATGCTCTTGAACTTCTAAAACTCTGAATCAAACCTCATTTCTTTATAAAGTACCCAGCTTCATGTATTTTGTTTTAGCAACACAAAATGGATTATGACCATGCATATATTTGCAACTGTTAAATCCTTTTAAAGAATCAATCACTTCATCATTATATAATAACTTTCTTTGTTTCATTCTATAATTTTGTCTTAAATTCTATTTTACCTCATATAAGTATAGCTACTCTTACTCTCTTTTGTATCCATGTGCATGGAATATCTTTGTCCATCCTTTCACTTTCAGTCTGTGTGTGGTAAAGGGAAAGTGTAGAGAACAGAGGTGGATTTTGTTTTTTAGTCCGTTTGGTAAGTCAGTGTTTCTTGATTATAGAATTTAATCCATTTACATTCAAGGTAATTATTGATATAGAAAGACTTATTACTGTGATCTTATTAATTGCTTTTTGATTTATTTGTAACTCCTTCATTCCATTCTCTCTTGTCTTTGTGAGTAGATGATTTTTCTCAAGTGTAATGCTTTTTTTCTTTACTTTCTATTTTCTATATATCTACTGTTGTCACTCTGGTTTCCTCGAAACTTACAGAAAACATATAAGAACAACTTCAATCTCATATAAAATCTGTACACTTTTACTCCCTCCCCTTGCATTTTGTTTTTAGTGTCATTACTTACATCTTTTATATTCTATATAATTTAACTAATTTTTTTTTTTTTGGTACCAAGGATCGGACTTGGATCCTTGCACTTGCGCAGCAGGCGGCGAAACCACTGAGCTAAATCCCCGGCCCAATTTAACTAATTATTGCAGCTACTATTATTGTAATCGTTTTGTCTCTTAGACTTCCTACTGAATATATAAGTAACTTACACACCACCTTTACAGAATTATAGTATCACAAATTTGATTATGTTCTAGCTTTTCTACTTTATATATTTTCAGGTTATTAATTAGTGCCCTTTTTCTTTCCATTTAAAGAATTCCCTTTAGCATTTCTGGAAGGCATATCTAGTGCTGAAGAACTCTGCCTTAATCTGTTTTCTGTTGCTATAATTAAATGCTTCAAATGGGGTAATTTATTTTAAAAATAGAGGTTTCTTCATGGGTGTGGTGGTGCATGGCTGTAATCCTAGTTACTTTGGAGGCTGGGGCAGGAGTATTGCAAGTTTGAGGCCACACATACACACACAGAATAGAGATTTCTTTAGCCTGTGATTCTAGTGGCTGGGATTTCCAGACCATAGCATCAACGTCTGGTCAGCATCTAGTGAGGGCCTTTGTGTTGGCTCATGATAAGGGAGAAGGTATCACACAGTAAGACAAAGAACCCTGGCTCAGGTCTCTCCCTTTTTTATATATAAACCTCTAGTACCATCAGACTTAGGACATTAACCTTATGGTCTTGTTCAACCTTACTTTCTTAAGGTCCCACCTCCAAATACACCGTCTTTTTTTTGGCTTAAATTCTTTTATTGGTACATTTTAGGTAAATAATACGTTTACATTTATCATTGGGTGCTTGTACCTGTACATGATGTATCTTAGTTCTTATTTTTTTCCCCCATTCCCTGGGCACCCTTCACCTCCTCCGCCCTTCCCTATTTACATAGATTTTTGTTTCCATTTTTTTTTTCTTTCTCATAATTTTTCCTTTCCCTTCCTCCCTTTCCCCTTCCCCTCCCACCACCATTACCCCTTTGGACCTTTTCTTCCTATTTCAAATTATCAATTATTCATTTTAATCATTTTAATCCTTATTTACACTTTCAGTTTCTCACACTAGAGAAACTATTCGGTACTTACACATGTGTGTCCTATTTATTTCACTTAAGACGATGGCCTCAATGTGCATCCATTTAGCTATAAATGTCTCTAGTTTCTCATTCTTTATGGCTGAGTAGTACTCCATTTTATTAAAAAACCACATCATCCTTATCCAGTCTCCAGTCAATGGGCACTTGGGTTGTTTCCAAGCTTTAGCTATTACAAACTGTGCCGCTATGAACATGGGCACACATATATCACTGTGGTATGATTCTTTTAATTCTTTTGGGAAGATACCCAGCAGGGGAATAGCTGGGTCAAATGGGACCTCTAGTCCTAGTTCTTTGAGGTATCTCCATACTGATTTCCATAGTGGTTGCACCAGTCTGCACTCCCACCAGCAATGGAGAAGGATTCCTTTCTCCCCATACCCAAGCCAGCATTTGTTATTGGTTGATTTCTTGATAGCAGCCATTCTTTCTGGGGTGAGGTGGAATCTGAGTGTTGTTTTCATCTGCATCTCTCGAATGATCAGTGATGTTGAACATTTTTTCATATATTTATTTGTTGCCTGCTTTTACTTCTTTGTCTGAGAAGTGTCTGTTCATTTCAGTTGCCCATTTTTGAATTGGGCCTTTGAATTTGAGGGGTCTGATTTTTTTTAATTCTTTATATATTCTAGATAGTAGTCCTTTGTCTGAGGTACAGCTGCTAAAAATTTTTCCCACATTGTAGGTTGTCTCTTAGCTCTGTTGGTGGTTTCTCTGGCAGTGCAGAAGCTTTTTAATAAGATGAGATCCCCGTTGTTGATTTTTTCCGCTAGTTCCCATGCTACTGAGGTTTTGTTCATAAAGTTTTTCCTATGCCAATGTCTTCAAGAGTTCTACCTAACTTATCTTCCAGCAAGTTTAGTGTTTCTGTCTTAATATTTAGATCTTTAATCCACTTTGATCTTAGTTTAGTGCATGGTGATAGGTATGGGTCTAGTTTTAATCTTTGGCAGGGTGTAATCCAGTTTTTCCAACACCATTTATTAAATAGGCTATCTTTCCTCCAATGATGGTGGCTGGCTCCTTTGTCAAAGATGAGGTGGCTGAGTATGTCTGGAGTTGTTTCTTCATCTTCTAATCTATTCCACTGAACTTTTGGTCTGTTTCTTTGCCAGTACCATGCTGTTTTTATCACAGTAGCTTTGAAAATATACCCTCTTAATACCTCACAATGGACATTAAATTTCAACTAGCTTTTGTAGAGACAGCGAAACCACAGGAAACTTATTTACTTTGCTTTTCTGAGAAAGTCTAGCTCTCCTTCATTTCTGAAGGATGGCACTGCTGAGTATTCTTTGTTGGCAGGATCTTTGTTTCAATACTTTAGATATTTCATTCTGTTCTCTCCTGGCTTGCTGAAAAACTGCTGCTAGATATATTTGAGCTCCTTTGAATCCAATGTACTTTTTTTGCTGCTTTCAAAATCCTCTCTTTGCCTTTTATTTTTTAGTTTGATTATATGTCTTGATGTAGTCTTCTTTAGTTTTTTTTTGTTATTTTTTTGAGACAGTGTCTCATTAGATAGTTTAGGCAAGTCTTGAACTCCTTATTAGCTCAGACTGGCCTTGAACTCCTGGCGATAGCCTGCAAGCTAGGGTTACAGGTATTAGGACATGCCAGGCTAGTCTTCTTTAGATTTAATATGACACTTTTGAGATTCTTGTACCTGGATATTTACATTTTCTCCCCAGAGTTGGGAGTTTTCAGCCATTAGATCTTTTAATAATCTTTTTGTCCTTTCTCCTTACCTTCTGAGCAATCCATACTGTAAATATTGGTTCACTTGATGGAGTTTCATTTTTCTTTTTGACTTTTTTGGTCAAGTTCACTTTCTTCTGCTTGAAGCTCTCTATGGACTTTTATGATTCAGTAATTGTGCTTTTTTATCCCTAGAAAGTTTGGTTCTTTTTATAATCTTTTTATTAAATTTTTCACTTTTTCATGTATTTTTTCTGATTTTGTTTAATATTCTATCTCTGTTCTCTTGGGATTCTTTAAGGCAATTATTTTGATTTTTCTCAGGCATTTCATGGATCTCTCTTTGCTTTAGAGTTGGTTATGGGTACTTTATTTTGTTCCTTTGATGGTGTCATGTTTTCCTAATTGTTTATAATCCTTGTGGCAATTAATTGGAATCTGGATTTGAAAAAGAGACTTGTTCCAGTCTTTGCTAACTGACTTCAGCTGGGAAAACCCTTCACCAGAGATTCTAGGCTGTCTACCTTGTATGATCTATGAGAAGGCTTGCTAGTGCAGTGCTGAGGCAGGTTGGCCTGGTGTCTGTGTCAGCAGATGTGCAGTCCAAGTATCTGGAACCAAGGAGACTAACCTGATACTGGGGACTACTGAGCCAATCCTGGATCCTTTGACCTACATCTCCTTATTCGCTCCCTGCCACCACTCTTGGTAACCAGTGTTCTATTCTCCTTTTTCATGTATTTGACTCTTTTTTTACATACAAACAAGAACATATAGTATTTTTCTTTCTATGACTGCCTTATTTCACTCAGCATAAAGCCCTTGAGCTTCATCCATTTTGCTACAAATGGCAGGATATTCTTTTTTTTAATGGCTGTATAATAGCCCAACTCTCTCTCTCTCTCTCTCTCTCTCTCTCTCCAGAATTTCTTTGTCTATTTATCCATCAATGGGCACTTGGGCTGTTTCTATATTGTAGCCTTTGTGAATAATGCTCCAATGAACATGGGAGTGTAGGTATTTGTACAAGGCACTGATTTGTGGGTGAATATGTTTCCTGCACTTATCTTAGTCACAGTCATATGGATTTTATTTAACATGTTAGTATGGATAATTACATTATTATGTTATTTTATTTAGCTTTGTTAAATGAAATTTGTACTAAAAAAAAGGACATCTTAGCTAATTTTTCAATCTTCCCCATCCTCTTCATTTTTCATTTGATTCATAAGTTGTAATATTTGAGAGTGTATTTTTCTACTATTATCTTTGAAAATATATTGTTTTTAAGGTACCCTCACCTGAGTCCCAAGTACAAGGAGTCCTTTGATGCAGGCTGTAACCTCTTTGCCAAGTTTTCTGCATACATTAAGAATACACAAAAAGAAGCAAATAAGAGTAAGATTTCTTTCTTTCAATCTCTATTTTTCTCACTTACTTGCTTACCTTCACAATTTCATTCAGCTAAAATAGGATTTCCCTGAATATATAGTGTATGATGGGGGAATAGCCTACTCTTCTCATTTTCTGTCATCTGCTCTTAAATTCCCTAAATACGTTTTATTAGATTTAGGACCCAAGAGTCAATATAGCAATTGCTAATATAGCCTAATTACAGCATACTGACATGCTATGTATGTACTAGCTACAAGACTGTGTATCTTTAAGGTTCCTTAAAATGTAGCATCTACCGAGTCCTACAGAACACTCTTAATACGTTCACTATCCTTTGAATCATGAAAACTAAGTCTCCCCTTTTGCTTTCTGACTCTTCTGTGTTGGATAACATGTATATTCTCCCTCTCTCTCTCTCTCTCTCTCTCTCTCTCTCTCTCCCTCCCTCCCTCCTTCCCCTCCGTCCTTCTCCCTCTATCAATGCACCTCACCAAAAGAAAAAATCCAAATCCAAGATGTTTTTACTCACCATTTGATGTGACTATGTCTCATCAGTGGATAGTTATGCATTCCAGATACTTAAGTAGATGTTGAAAAGCTAGTGTAAGCAATGTGTATAGATAGAAATGTCTAAATCATGAAAAGCATATTAAGAACATGTTTAGTTATGAAGACAATGCATTTATAAGTAACCCTGTACCTTCACTGCCTAAGATTTTGAAAAAAATCTGCTCAAAGAATTTAAGCGTTTGGATGACTACTTAAACACCCCACTTCTGGATGAAATTGATCTAGACAGTGCTGAGGAACTCACAGTTTCCAGAAGATTATTCTTGGATGGGGATCAGCTAACACTGGCTGACTGCAGCTTGCTGCCTAAACTGAACATTATTAAGGTTAGTCTTTACAGGCTACTGGGTGTAGAGGGCTTTGTGAATTGCCAAAATGTGACACAGTAACCCTCTGATATGATGTTGTTAGTTTTGTCATCATTGTTGTGCATAGAGTATATCTCCTTTTTCTCCTCAGAGAAAAGATCTGTAATTATCTCCCCTAGAAAACATTAAAACTTTTTGTTTCTTTCTTCCTAAATCAGAAGGTGTTTTCCATTGTCTTGTCTATAAAATAAGGATAATACTATTAACACTTTTCACAGAATTATTGAGAAAATCCAATAAATTAAAGCATATAAAATGCTTAGAACACATAGTGCCCTGGATATGATGATGATTTAATCATCAATTTAACAAATTAGTTGACCAGAACTTACACAGAATTTACTCTTTATGTTTTGTGCCAGACACGGAGTACATAAACAAACAAGAATTTGGCTGACCAAAAGGTCTTGTTGCTGCCCATAAAAGGATAACCAGGATCCCAAATAAACTCCTGAGGATGTTATATTTTCTTTTCTAAGCTCCCCTCCTCTAAACATATTCATAATTAAACATAGCACCAATAAAAACATTTATCGACAAAATATTAAAATAGTGAATCCAAGATTCAAATTTATTTTGTAGTACTTACCCTTTGAGATGTATTTCTACACAGTAGGTATATTACTGATGTCTTTTATTACCACTTATTTTTCTTCATTTTTACCTAAATCCTAGGTTGCTGCCAAGAAATATCGTGACTTCGACATTCCAGAAGAATTCTCAGGAGTCTGGCGCTATCTGCACAATGCCTATGCCCGTGAAGAATTTATCCACACATGCCCTGAAGACAAAGAAATTGAAAATACCTATGCAAGTGTAGCTAAACAGAATTAGGACAGCTCTTTCAGGAGAAAAGGCTCTATTTTTTATCACATTTTACTTTCTACCATATTAGAAAGATTTTTAGAAATAAGAATATGAAAAATATTCCTCTATCCAACTCACTTATGAAAAGGAACTCTGTATTTTCTCTATCCAGTTAGCCATAAACTGTCCAGTGTATATTTTATATATCTTCATATTTTCACTTCATTTTCTTTCTTTCTGTGGCAAATCATTGTGATCTTCAAGGACATAGACAGCATTAAGATCTTTTGCCCTTTCCTTGAGTTCCTAGAATGCACAATATATGAGCTAACCAGATTTCTGAAGTTACAAAGGACATAAGTAGAGCCACAATCTCAAATTGCTCCTTAGAAACAGTTCCATCTAAATCATTAAAATAATTTTACATTTGTTACTTTAATACATGCATGAGTTTATTTCTGGTATGAATAATAAAATAAGTGAGTGAGACTATCAGAAAGGCAAATTCTAAAAGGCTTTTTAAAAAAAGTTCAGTACATGAATCAAGACCAATTGGTTTTGAACAGTACTCAAGCATTCAAGACTTAGAAATATGATTACTTCATACTCAGAGAGAAGACTAAGGCCTTTGAGGAGAGATTATATAATTGTTAGATGAGCAAGGATTCATTTGATAATCTTATTTTGTAATTTATTTTTGTTCGTACACATTTGCAGTACATAATGATCACATTTACTATGGGAGATTTGTGTATGCACATAACACATCTTAATTCTTTTTTGTCCCCTTACCCTCTCCACTCTCCAACCTTTCTTCCCCTCCTTATTTACAAAAGTTATATTTCCATTTTTCCATCAATTCTTTTTTTTCTTTAAATCCCTTTCCCTTCCTTCCCTCTCTCCCCCTCATCTCTTGTTCCCCTTCTGTTTGAACAAGTTCTTTCTACTTCCTAATATATCTCCTCCATTTTGCTCCACATTCATACTTTGGGTTTCTCACACAAGAGAAATAACACAATAATTGGACATTTTATTCATAGAAATAAAAAGAAAACTAAGAAATTTGGCTGACCAAAAGGTCTTGTTGCTGCCCATAAAAGGGTAAGGTATTCAGTCCTTAGATGGTCACAAAGTTTTCAACACAATTTAAATCATACTATGTGTATTGAGATTCTTAAATGTACTTACTGCATGTAACTTGTTAAAGCACTTTTGAGTCATTCAAATCTGGAAACAAAAGCTGAACTTAACTCTTCCTCCTTCAAAGGAAAATCAAAGCAGAAATGCAGTTTCAAATAAAAAGAGAACATTGGGTTATTATAGGTGAAAGGTGGGTGTTTAGATGAAATTTAAATGAAAGTGTTTTAATAGGCTTACAGAAAAATAAGACATGTACCCAATTCTCAAGATGACTGTAAACTTCATGGACTAATAAAACAAAGAAAAAGTAAAATAATAAGTAAAGAATTAACATCAGACCTAAGCATATAGAAATGGCCCAAAGTACTGTCCTTGAAAAGCAGAGTCAAGATAAATATATAATGTCATGTGCCCTCTTTCCTGGAAGACTTCTCATTTGAGAAATTGCACCTGGTCTGTCAGTTGGGGTTGTAGGCTCTCTGAACAATTCTGATCTTTCCATCTTCATTAATATGATTTCAGAAAGTAAATTTTTAATGATCTGCAATTTTAAATAACAAAATTTCTCAGTACCATGCCTTAAAATTATTAGCCAATGCCATTTTTACAGATAGATAAAGTACACCACCACTAAGCCTCAGTGTGTATCAAAGTAATGGTAAGTAGTTACCCTCTATTACCCTCTTAGACCGAAGAATTGTTATTTTTATAAAGGCCAGGACCAGAAGAGATGCGTGTCCTAGGAATATGGATGGGTCTGGAGCTTATCATGTTGAGTGAAATAGGCTAAACTCAGACAAATATCAGATGTGGAATCTAAAAAAGTTGGTTGTAAAGTAGAAGAATACTATTATTAAACAAGAGGAGGGGAATAATGGGGAGTAGGAGGAAAGTGAAGGGAAAGGAATGGGGAAATGGACATGATCCTTTTTGAAAAATTGTGATAAAAATACATAACATAAAACTCACCATATTAACTATTTTTAATCATACAAATTTTAATCATATTGACTATTTTTAATCATAAAACTCACCATATTAACTATTTTAATCTTACTTTTTTGTACTGGGGATCGAACTCAGATCCTTGCGCTTGCAAGGCAGGTGGTGGAACCACTGAGCTAAATCCCCGGCACATATTTTAATCATATTTTTAATTCATCATATTAACTTTTTTTTCCCATTAACTTTATTGGTACATTTTAGGTATACAATACAATTACATTCATCATTGGGATCTTGTACCTTTACCTGACATATCCCGGTTCTTATTTTTTCCCCATTCCCCTGTACTCCCTTCACCCCCTCCACCCTTCCCTATTTACATTACATTTGTTTCCATTTGTTCCTTTTCTCATACATTTTCTTATCCCTTCTTTCCTTTCCCTACGCCTCCCACTTCCCCTACTCCTTTAGACCTTTTCTTCCTATTACACAATATCAATTATACATTTCGATACTTATTTACACTTTTAGTTTTTCACACTGGAGAAACTATTCGGTATTTACACATGTGTGTCCTATTGATTTCACTTAAGAGTATGGCCTCAATGTGCATCCACTTAGCTATAAATGTCTCTAGTTTGTCATTCTTTTTTGTGGTACTCGGGATCGAACTCAGGTCGTTGCACTTACGGGGCAAGCGGTGGAACCACTGAGCTAAATCCCCGACCCAAGTTTGTCATTCTTTATGGCTAAGTAGTACTCCATTTTATTTTTAAAAAAAACAAAAAAACACATCTTCTTCTTCTTTATCCAGTCTCTAGTTGATGGGCAATTGGGCTGTTTCCAAGTTTTAGCTATTACAAACTGCGCTGCTATGAACATAGCTGAGCGTATATCACTGTGGTATGATTCTTTTAATTCTTCTGGGAAGATACCCAGCAGAGGAATAGTTGGGTCAAATGGGACTTTTAATCCTAGTTGTTTGAGGTATCTCCATATTGATTTCCACAGTGGTTGCACCAGTCTGCACTCTGATCAACAAAGAAGAAGGGTTCCTTTCTCCCCACACCCCCACCAGCATTTGTTATTGGTTGATTTCTAGATAGCAGCCATTCTTTCTGGGATGAGGTGGAATCTCAGGGTTGTTTTCATCTGCATCTCTCGAATGACCAGTGATGTTGAACATTTTTTCATATATTTATTTGAAGCTTTTACTTCTTTGACTGAGAAATGTCTGTTCATTTCAGATGCTCATTTTTGGATTGGGTCTTTATATTTGGGGGGGTCTGTTTTTTTCAGTTCTTTATATATTGTAGATAGTAGACCTTTTTTTGAGGAACAGCTGGTAAAATTTTTTCCCACATAATACATTGTCTCTTAGCTCTGCTGGTGGTTTCTCTTGTAGTGCAGAAGCTTTTTAAAAAGATGAGATCCCAGTTGTTGATTCTTTGTGCTAGTTCCCATGCTACTGAGGACTTGTTCATAAAGTCCTTTCCTATGCCAATGTCTTCAAGAGTTCTACCTGACTTATCCTCCACCAAGTTTAGTGTTTCTGTTTTTATATTTAGATCTTTAATCCACTTTCATTTTAGTTTAATGCATGGTGAAAGATAGGGATCTAGTTTTAATCTTTGGCAAGTTGAAATACAATTTTTCCAACACCATTTATTAAAGAGACTATCTTTCCCCCATTGAGGATGGTTGGCTCCTTTGTCAGAGATGTCTGAAGTTGTTTCTGCATCTTCTAATCTATTCCACTGATCCTCAGGTCTGTTTCTTTGCCAGTACCATGCTGTTTTTATCACATTGGCTTTGTAGTATAGTTTCAAGTTGGGGATTGTGATACCCCCTGCCATGTCTCTGTTGCCTAGAATTGCTTTTGCTATTCTAGGTCTCTTCTGGTTCCAAATGAATTTTTGGATTGTTTTCTCTAGCTCTGTGAAATATACTGTTTGGATTTCATTCAGGATTGCATTGAATCTGTATAGCAGTTTTGGAAGTATGGCCATTTTCACTACATTGGTTCTTCCTACCCAGGAGCAAAGGATGTCTTTCCATTTTCTTATATCCTCTTTGATCTCTTTTTTCAGTGTTGTAGTTCTCAATGTAGAGGTATTTTGCTTCCTTCATTAGATTGATTCCTAAATATTTCATTTTTTTGGATGCTATTGTGAAAGGGATTGTTTCCCTAATTTCTCTCAGTGAGTCTGTTCATCATATTAACTATTTTTAATCATAGGAATAGTAAATTATGGAAGTCATCTATCTGTTCACCAACACATGAATGGATAAAGAAAATGTGGTTTTATACATAAGGGAGCCCTACTGTGGTATAGAGAAGGATAAACTTTGGTTATTTGTAAGAAAACGGACACACTTTGAGACCGCAATGCTAAGTGAAATGAATCAGACACACAAGCTTAAATATCACATGGTTTATCTTAAATAAGAAATTCAAAATATAAATAAATCAAAGAGCAAAGTAAAAGATGATAGGAAACAGGAAAAGACACTTGTAGAGATGGGAAGATAGGGGAATGGGGGAAAGAGGGGAGGGAGGAAGGGAAGGGGAAGTTAAATGTCCAAGACGCGATATGTATATATACCAATCCCCCAAGACGAATGTAATTAATATGCATCACAAACATATACTAACAATAAAAGTAAAAGGATCCAAAAGGATCTAGATGAAGAATTAAACATCAGAAAAAATACAACAAAGTAAAAAACAACACAATAATGAACTAATGAAGATAAAAGTAGAAATAAGTGAAATTGAAAAAAAAAACAAAAATAATCGATCTAGTTTGTGAACCAAAATCGTTGTTTCTTAAAAATATAAACAATATAGACAAACTGCTAGGCATGTCAATAAAAATAAAACAGAAAAAGCAAAAAATATACAAATAAAATACTAGAGAGATAACAATTAGAAAATAAATTAATAAAAAATGTTATTCATAGAAATAGAGGGAAATGCTGCTAGATGTAGTGGCACACAACCATAATCCGAATTAATCAAGAGGCTGAGGCAGAAAGATCTCAAATTCAAGGCTAGCCTTGGCAACTTAGGGAGCCCCTGTGGCATAAGAAAAAGGGCGAGGCTGAGGAATGTAGCTCAGTGGTGGAGCACTTGTCTAGCATATGTGGGGCTCTGCATTCAATACTCAGTGCTGCAAAAGAAAAGGAAAGGAAGGAAAGAGGGAGAGAGGGAAGGAAGGAAGGAAGGAAGAAAGGAAAGGAAGGAAGGAAGGAAGGAAGGAAGGAAGGAAGGAAGGAAGGAAGGATTACCTTCCAGAAACAATCAGTCCTTAGGTGGTTTCACAAAAGAATTCTACCAAATTTTCGAAGACCCAATATCCCCAATGTTTCATATATTATTCCAGTGCATTGAAAGTGGAGGAAAATATCCTGTCTTTTTACAAAGTAAGTACAGTATTGATTACTAAATTTTGTTTTGTGTTTAGTTTGTTAGTTTTTACTTTTATTTTTAATCAATACATAATTGTACATATTGGGCTACAGTGTGATAAATTTGATATATGTATAAACTTTGTGATGATTAAATTATAGTAATTCATATTTTTAGCTACTTAAACATTTATCATTTATTTGTGGTGGGAACTTACCAACATTTCCTTCTAGTTCTTTATAAAATACAACATAAATTGTGGCAAACTTTAGTCATCTTTCTATGCTATAAAACAGTAGCATTTATTCCTCTTATCTAATTGTCTTTTGGTACCTCTTATCTGGTCTCCTTCTACCCTCTTTAGTCCCTATGTATCCTAGCCACTATTCTACTCTTTATTTGTATGAAATTAACTTTTTAGCTTCCACGTGTGAGAGAGAACATGTAGTATCTTATTTTCTGCCTCTGGCTTATTACATTTCACCTAATATCTTCCATTTCCATCGCAGTTGCCACAAATAACAAGATGTGATTCTTTTTATGGCTGAAAACTATTTCATTGTATATGTTATAGATAAAATCTGGAATGTCCTTCCAAAAGCCCATGTAGTAAAGGCTTAATCCTCAGCCTATGGTACTATTGGGAGGAGCTGGATCTTTTAAGATGTGGGGCTTGCCTTCTTCCTGATCTTAGGGAACATGCTTTCAACTTTTCCCCATTCAATATGATGTTGGCTATGGGCTTGTCTTTTACAGCCTATACTTTGTGGTCCATTCCTTCTATATATAATTTTCAGGGGGTTTATCTTCGTCACTTTTCTTGTTGCTGGGATTCAGTACCTGAAACCAACAAATCAAAGAAGGTGAGGTTTATTTAATTCATGGTTTTTAGAGGATTCAGTCCATAGTCAGCTGATTCCAGGGCAGAAGGTGAGGGGAAGAGTCTGAGTAGAGGAAAGTGCTTCATGTCCTGGCAGCCAGGAAGCAGACAGTAAAGAGAGAAGCCAGGGAGAAAGATATACCCTTCCAAGTCATGTCCCCACTGATTCGCCTCTTCTGACAAGGTTCCAACCCCTAAGATCATATTTAGCTATAGCAGCCCCATGAGTCAATCACCATTCAAAAGCTCTGTGTATGAGCATGTGAGGTTTGGGGGGAACATCTAGCGGTAAACCACAACAGTGGTTTATCAGGATCTTTTGAGATGATCAAAATGATGATATGGCACTTTTTTTTTTTCTTGCCATAGTGGAGATTGAACCCAGGACTTTGAGCACGTTAAGAAAGTCCTCTACTGCTAAGCTACAGATCCAACCCATTTTCCCTTATATATTTCTTATTTTGATATAGGGTCTCACTGCTACAGGCTACCTAGGTTCATACCCTTCTGTTCGTTTGCTCATCACTGACCAAATCAAAGGAAGTCATATATTTTGTAAAAAAAGAGAATGTATTCAAACTTAGCTCCCAAGAGATTCAGGATCGCATTTGCCTCACATCACAACTTCTTCTTGTACTAGTGGGCAAGGGCCTTTTATAGGAAGGAGTGATAGAGAGGAGCACAGAGACAGGACACAGATCTTCACGTTTGCTTTATGGTTTCCAGCCATCTTTAGCTCATTGTCCCCTTTCTCGTGGAAAGAAAATGAAGCTCCAGGCCTCCTGGTGTCAGCATCTGTATTTTCTGTCACTTCATCTGAGCTGAAGAGAGGAGGTGGTGTTGGTTATGGAAATTTGGAGAAATTGCTTATCTCTACAAGATTAAAAAATTGTAACTTTTAAAGTTCTATTTTGCAATGCTAGATGCATCACTACATTGCTTAGGCAGGCCTTGAACTTGTGATACTCCTGTCTTAGCCTCCTGAGCAGCTGGAATTATAGGCATGCACAATCAGGCTTGGAAATCATATGGGTTTTATCATTCATTCTGTTGATCCAGTGTATTATATTCATATATTTGCATATGTTGAATCATCCTTTCGTCTCCAGGATAATTCTACTTTGACAGGCTAATTGCTAGCATTTTGTTATATATTCATTAGGGATATTAGTCTATAATTTTCTTTTTTGTGCATTTCCTTATCTAGTTTTGGTACTAGGGCAATTAGCTTGTAGAGTGATTTTGGAAAGATTCTCTCCCTTTCAACAGTTTGGTATAGTTTGAAAAGAATTGGTATCAGCTGTTTTAAAAGTCTGGTAAGATTGAGTAGTGAAGGCATGGCTTTTTCTTTGTTGAGAGACATGTCATCAGTGATTTTATCTCATGGTTTTTTATTTCTCTTTTCAGTTTTTCTATGTATAGATTATTCAACTTCAACACATATATAATGTGTTCAAAAATTTATCTCTTCTACATTTTCCAACTTGTTATCATATAGTTATCCATAATAATTTCTATTGACTCACTGTATTTCTGTGGTGTCAGTTGTAATGTCATTTACATCTCTGATTTTATGTTTATATTTTTCTTTTTATTTTCCTGGTTAGTCTAGATAGAGGTTTATCAATTTTGTTTATCTTTTTAAAAAACTTTTATTGTATTGATCTTTTGTATTATTATTTAGTCTCTATTTCATTTATTTATGCTGTTACCTTTGTTATTTATGTCCACCTATTAGTATTAGGTGGACATAATAAATACCTATTAGTATTGGTTTCTTTTTGATTTTCTAGCTCCTTGTGTTGCATTGTTAGGTTGTTTATTAGGAATCTTTCTCTATTTTTATGTACTGCTGTATTAGTCACTTTCCCAGGACTGGGACAAAATAGCTGACACATACAACTTAAAAGAGGAGTGGTTCATTTTGAGTCATGGTTTTAGAAGGTTCACTCCATGGTCAGCTGGCTCCAAGGCAAAAATGTCATGGTGGAAGGGCATGGCAGAAGAGAGCTGCTCAACTCATGGTAGCTAGGAAGCAGAGAGATGAGGGAGAAGCCAGGAACAAGAATACATCCTTCCAGGTCCCAGACCTAGGGACCCACCTCTATCCAGGCCCCCTCTATTAAGAGCACACTTGTAGATGAATTCATCAACAGATTAATGCACTGATTAGCATAGTGCCACTGTGATCAAATCACTTTTCAAAAGCCCTACCTCTGAACATCTGAGACTCTTGGAGGACATTTTAAATGTAAACGAAAAGAAATTATTTTTGCTGTATCCCATAGGTTTTGACATGTTTTGTTTACACTTTCATTTGTTTCAAGAAAATTTTAATTTCTCTTTTGATTTCACCATTGATCTATTTATTGTTCAAGAGTATGTAGTGTAATTTCCATAGTTTGTATAATTTCTAAAGTTCTTGTTAGTTTCTAATTTTAATCCATTGTGATCAGAAAAAAATACATGATACAATTTTGATTCTTTAAAATTTTGTTGAGACTTATTTTGTGACTTAATATATTATCTATCTTGGAGATTGTCCCAGGTCCTGATGAGAAGAATCTATATTCTGTAGCCGCTGGGTAAATTATTCTGTAGATGTCTGTTAGATCCATTTAGTTAACAGTACAGTTTAACTCTGGTATTTTTTTTGTAGATTTTTTTTCACTAAATAATCAGTTCATTGGCAAAAATGGGGTCCTGATGGTCCCTATTATTGTACTGGGGTCGATCTTTCATTTTAGATAAAATAATGTTTGCGTTACATAATTGAGTGCCCAAGATTGGGTGCATATATACTTACAATTGTTATTTCTCCTTGCTGAATTGATCCCCTTACCATTATCAAGTGACTTTTGTTTATTTTGCAGTTTTGACTTAAAAATCTATTTTATCTCGCATAAAACAGAAATATGAGAAGACAAGGAAAAAATGCCTCCACAAGCTCTCAACTCCCTAAAGCAGATAAAGGGATCATTGAGGGGAAGGAAATCAAAACCCACGTAGCAAAACATCTAAAAGATATCATTGGAGGTAATAAAACAGATAAATAAGGTACTTGGGAAAATCAAAGAAGACATAACTAGACAAATAATATTTCTAATGAAACAAATGATCAGTAAGTCTACAAAAGACACTAATAAAACATAGCAGAGCTAAAGAAAGAAGTATAAAATATAAATGTCCAGCATAAAAAAGAATTGGAGTCAATAAAAAAGTTCCCAAAAGAAATCCAGAGATTAAAAATATGACTCAAAGTATGGGCAGCTAAAGTGACCAAAGTGAGTATACAGTGTCAGACCTAGAAGACACTCCTGAGCTTGGTAATCAGTTAATGAGAGATACCTTAAAAACAACAAGAGGATATAAAAAATGGACCCAACAGCTGCTAGATGACACAAAGACTAATCTAAGATTAATTGGAATTAGCGAAAAATCAGAAGGCAGCACAAAAGGGCATTAAAAAACTATTTACAGAAGTGCTAGTAGAAAGCTTTCCAAACATGGGAAAAGATTCAACATACAGATAAATTAGGCATATAAAACCCAGAATAGCCATGATTATAAAAGAACCACTCCATAACACATGATAAGCAAAATACCAGAAATCCAACACAAGAATAGGATTGTAAAAGCTGTTAGAGAAAAACAGCGAATCACTTATAAAGGAAAATCTATCAGAATAGCAGTAGATTTCTAAACACAAACCTTAAAGGCAAGAAGGGGTTGAAGTGTTTCAATTTCTAAAAGAAAACAACTTCCAACCCAGACTTATACACCCAGCAAAATTATCCTTCAAAGTTGATGGAGAAATAAGATATTTTCATGATAAAGGGCACCTACAGAAAGTCATGACTGCCAAAACAGCTCTCCAAAAAATTCTCAAGGATACTCTAGAAAGAGACAGTGAGTCTAACAATGACAAAAGACCCAAAAGAATGAATGTACCAGTAGGCCAAGCAATTAAGTCAAAAGGGAAAAAAAGGGAATCAGCAGCAGGAAAGTAAAACAATAATGGGGCTAAGTCAATGCCTATCAGTTATAGGTATCAATGTGAATAGTTTCATTTTTCCAATGAAAAGACAGATTAGCAGACTGGATCAAGAAACAAAATCTAACAATATGCTGCATACAAGAAACACATTTAACCCAAAAAGAAAATCATACATTAAAAAGACCAAAGGATGGAAAACAATATTCCATGCAACAGAAACCTGAAAACAAGCTGGAGTAGCTATCCTATATTGATACAAAATGGATATTAAACCAAAACTGATCAGAAGAGGCAAAAAAGGACACCACACATTGGTCAATGAAATTACTCAAAAGGAAGAGATAACAATTATAAATGCATATGAACCAAACAATGGTGCACACAACTTCATAAAACACTACTGGACATAAAGAATAAGATAAGCATCAATACAGTTATAGTGGGTACATTAGTTATTTTCTCATTGCTGGGACAAAATACACAACATGCAAAAGTTAAAGGAGAGATTTATTTTGGCTCATAGTTTGTAGAGGTTTTATTCTAGTCACCTGGCTCCAAGGCAGTGTGGCATGGCAAAGGGGCATGGCAGAGGAGAAACAGCTCATTGCAGGCAGAATCCAGCGCCAGATCAAGGGAAGAGGAGGGATGTGTATTTATTCCAAGCTGCACCCTATGGCCCACCTCTTCCCATCAGGCTTCATCTTCCAACATTACATACAGCTACAAACCCATCAGTGGACTAATCCAGTACCACACACCCATGATCCAGTTCCACACACCCATGATCCAATCACCTCCCAAAAGCCCCACTCTTAAGTGCATGAGGCTTTGTGAAGACATCTGGGTATAAACTACAAAGTGGGAGACCTCAGTATCCCACTAACACAAATAGATCAACTAAACAAAAAAATCAGCAAAGAAATATCAGAGTTTGAGGGCCGGGGATTTAGCTCAGTGGTTCCGCCGCCTGCCTCGCAAGCGCAAGGTCCCGAGTTCGATCTCCGGTACCAAAAACAAACAAAAAACCAGATATACACAAAGTGTTCCACCCAACAACAAAGGAATATACATTGTTTTCGGCAACACATGAAATGTTCTCCAAACTAGACCACTTACTAGTCAAAAAAACATGCTTAAATCAATGCAAAAGAATTAAAATTTTACCAAGCATATTGTTAGATAACAATGCAATGAAACTATAAATCAATAGCAAAATAAACCACAGAAATCAGGCAAACACATGGAAATTAAACAACATATTCTTGAATAATCAGTAGGTCACAGAAGAAATTAAGGAAGAAATCAGACAGTTCCTAGAATTAAATGATAATGTCAGTACAACATACCAGAACTTATAGGGCACAATGAAAGCAGTTCTGAGAGGACAGTTCATACCTGTGAATGCCCACCTGTGAAAACCAGTGAATCCAAATAAATAAGCTAATGACGCACCTCAAGCTTGGAAAAAAAGTGATCCAAATCCAAGCAATTACGAGGAAGAAAATTTGGGCCAGGGATTGAGCTCAGTGGTTCCGCCACCTGCCTCACAAGCGCACGGTCCTGAGTTCGATTCTCAGTACCAAAAAAAAAAAACCCCAAACGAGGAAGGAAATCATAAAGATCAGAGCAGAAATTAATAGAGACTAAAAAAATACTAATAATCAATGTATTGAAGGGGCTGGCACATTGAAAAAGTAAGCAAAGTAGACAAACCCTTAGCCAATCTCACAAAAAAATAAAGAAAAGACACAAGTCAATACAATTATAAATGAAAAAGGTGAAATTGTAATGAACACCATCAAAATCCAAAAGATTATTAGCAACTACTTTGAAAATCTGTATACCAATAAATTGGAGAACTCTGAAGAAATGATGAGATTCCTAGATACATATGAATGAAAAAACTGAATTAAGACTTAAAAATCTTGAATAATCCAATAACAGGTCACGAAATTGTAATAAAAAACCCTGCCAACTAAGAAAAGCCCAGGACCTAATGGATTCACCACCAAATTCTACAAGAACTTCAGGGAAGATCCAACACCAATACTCCTCAAACTCTTTAATGAAATTGAAAGGGAAGGATTACTCCGTTATTCTGGGAAGTTAGCACTACCCTTATCCCCAAACCAGATAAAGATCCAAATGAAAAAGAGAACTACAGGCCAATCTCTTTAATGAATATAGATGCAAACATCCTTAATAAGATACCAGCAAACAGAGTGCAACAAATCATCAAAAGATCCTACACCATGACTAGGGATGCAAGATTGGTTCAGCATATGGAAATCAACAAGTGTAATTCATCACATAAACAGAAGCAAGGACAGGCCCGGGATTGAGCTCAGTGGTTCCAATGCCTGCCTCACAAGCGCAAGGTCCCGAGTTTGATCCCTGGTACCAAAAACAACAACAAAAAAACAAACCCAGAAGCAAGGACAAAAACCACACAATCACCTCAATTGTTGCAGAAAAAGCCTTTGGTAAAATTCAACATCAATTCACAATAAAAAACCCTGAAGAAAATAGGTATAGAAAGACCTTATCTCATTCTGATAAGAGCCATTTATGGCAAACCAACAGCAAATATCATATTAAACAGGCAACAGCTGTAAGTTTTCCCTCTGAAATCAGGAACAAGACAAGGATGTCTGCTATCAACTGCTACTGTTCAGCATAGTTCCTGAAACATTAGCCAGAGCAATCATGCAAGAGAAAGAAATAAAAGGGATATATAGAGGAAAGAGGTCAAATTATTATTATTTGCAGATAACATGATCCTCTACATAGGAGAACCAAAGAATTCCACCAAAACACTCATAGAATTAATAACCAAATTCAGGAGTGTAGCAGTATATAAAGTCAACACACAAAAATCAAGTGTCCCTAAATACCAACAATAAACTCCCTGAGAAAGAAATTAGAAAGACAAAACCATTCACACTAGCATCAAGAAAAATTAAATAGATGGGGGATCCAACATGGCTGAGTAGAGTAGGAGTCACATCAGAGAAACTCAGAGAAGATTCCCTAAGAAGTATTGTGAATTCAGGGCAGGGCATTCACCTCAAAACAGAAAATCAATAGAAAAGATGATATATGTAGATCAAACCAAACAGAGAGCTGAAAAGGGAAAGCAGTATTGCTGTGGTTTGTTCCATGTGCCTCCACCCCCATTTCTCTAGGGAGCAGTCCTTTTGAAAGTGTGGCAAATTGCCCGAGGGACTGAACTAGCACTGCAGAGACCAGACTCCTGCAATAGACTTTGCAAACATTGGCCCATTCCCACTTCACCTCCCCCCCAAAACAAGGGAAAGTTGCATTCCTTCATTGTCCTCTCAGACATTAACCACAGACAAGGGAGCCCCCTCCAGACTGTGGTCAAAGAGAGGATAAACAGGTGAATGGCGACCTAGCCAACTCTCATAGGAATCAGCTTGGCTCACATGCCTCCCCACTAAGTCACTGGCACATGTGTACAGCTGCCAGCACCAGTTTTGCATGCTTACTTTCCCTACTTGCCTGCTAAGTCACAGGTAAGCATGCCCAGACCATCTGGTGCCATCCCTATGACTCCCTTGCCCCTGCTTGCCTGCTGAGACACAGGGAAGCATGCCCTTTCTACCTGGCATCAACCCTGCCAGCCCAGTTGACTAAGGTGTCACGGATGCTAATACCCACCCACAGGCTGAATCTACTCTGTACTCACCTTTCATATCGGCATGACACCATGTGTCACTGGAGCACATATGAAAATAAAAAGGCATGGAATCTCTTACATAAAGTAAGCTTAGATTACATCATCTTAAGAGAAACTTTTAGTTCTAGAGAGCTATATATTTGAGCTAGCAAAGTATCCATTATGATCAAATTAGATGTATGATTGCTAACATTTATCTAGTGCTTATATTGCAAATTTGTGTGTGTTTTACATATATTAACTACTTGACTTCATTAAAATATATGAGGTAAATATTAGTAGCATGCCTGTTTCATAGATTAAAAAATTGAGAAATGAAGAAGACAAGTAAGGGCCGGGGATTTAGCTCAGTGGTGCCACTGCCTGCCTTGCAAGCACAAGGTCCTGAGTTCGATCCCCGTCTGGGCCCCACCCCTGAAAAAAAAAAGAAGCCAAGTAAAGCAGGAATTGAACCTATGTAGTTTTATCATCTATGAGCAAAAATAGAGCATTTAGTACCATGTTCTTGAAATGTTACTTTTTCATGTACAAGACTCTTGCCAAGCCAAGATGACATTGTAAGCCTGCCAAGACTTGACTATTCAGGTAAGTATTATCTAAAGAACAATGGGAACTGGGCAAACATGTTATTTGTAGAGAATCTTCCTTCATGCTCATATGCCAAGCCATCATTCTTGGAATGCTGTTCATAAAGTGGAATAAAACAAACAAATGATATTACTGTTTGTGTAATCTAATCTATAAAACCCTTTTCCCAGGAACCAAGGGCAGAACACAGAAATGTGGAGAGGGTAAGTACTCAAACTTTGAGTGCTCCCTGGAGAGTCCCCTGTTGGGCTCTTCACCACCAGACCTCCTAGCAATTTCCCTGTTTAGCCCAAGGATAAGAGTGTTGGATTCATAGTGGGCTCCTAGACAGTTTAAGCAAAGAAGAGGAAGTAGGATAGGACTTGACCTTGTCTGAAAGGCCAACCTTGTTAGACTGTTGGGGCTTTGAGTAACCTCTATGTAGGGGAAGAAGGCTGCAGGGTGTGTTACATTACTTAATCGGTGATTCCATCAATCATGCCTAAATAATGAAACTCCAATAGTTTGTGTAGTGAAGCTCAGGAGCACTTCTCTGTTTAACAATATTCTATACACATTGTTATACATGGATAGGTTCTTGACTCACTGGAAAAGAACACTGGAATCTTTAGATTTGAGACCCTCCTAGGCCACATCATATGCAACTCTTCTTTCAGTTTCTCTTGATTTGTATCCTTTTTGCTATTATAAAATTGTTATCCTACAAATAGCAGTTTTATGAGAACTATAAAACATTGTAGTGAATTACTGAAACTGATTAAAGAAGGGAAAACTATAAATCTGTTGGTTGGAAATGTGGATGGAGTGGGACCTCCTAAACTTGTAGCTAGTCTATGAAATGAGTTAAGTTTTTCGGAGGATTGTGCCCTTAACCTGTGGAGTTTAGACTAACTCCAGGTAATTTGATTCAGAAGTCATTGTAATAGTCCAATATGATTTGGCTTAAAGTATAACGCCATAAAAATTTTAAAGTTGACTCCAGAAAATGTGCATAATGTACAATAATTTTCCAAATAGCTCTTTATATAAAATAATTTCAAATAGGTCAATTTTATAAATCACAACAATGTTGAATTCTAAAATACCACTTTCATAGTCATTAAACAAAATTCATCATCTATTAAGTTATACACTTCAGTACACATGACTGCTTTTTTGGTGTAAACTAAAACTTTCCTGATTTCTCTTTCTTCATGAAAATCAAAGCCTTTCAACCAAGACATGTTCAGGGCCTCTTCGCCGGCAGGCGGCGGGACCCATTTGGGAGGCAGAAGCAGCAACCACGGCCCGGCTTGAGGGGCGCTCCTGGGGCCAAGGCCATGGCCCCGCGGCTGCAGCTAGAGAAGGCCGCCTGGCGCTGGGCGGAGACCGTGCGGCGCGAGGAGGGGTCGCAGGAGCACATCGAGACCACCTACCGCATCTGGCTGGAGCCCTGCATCCGCTGTGTTTGCAGACGCAACTGCAAAGGAAATCCAGATTGCCTGGTTGGGACTGGTGAGCGTATTTGGTTAGAAGAAATAGATTCGTTGCCACTGCACAAATAAGGAAGAATTGTGTGTCTGTTAGATACTGAAACAGAAAAATATTCGAATAGGAGAAGTGAAGAGGTGGGAACATTGAGGTAGGAGTGATGGTGAAAAGTAGAACAGGAAAATCAGGGCTCAGGCACAACCAATGTTCACACTGGGGAGAAAGATAGGAATTGTTGGGAGGAGTCTAGGTATATGGGAGGAAGCTATGCAGAGGGAAATACAACGTCTGCTAGTAGCTACTTGGGTTGAGGGGAGAAAATTAGATGGAAGCACACCTCCTCAGACCTAGGGAAAAGGAAACACCAGAGAAATCAGGGTCAGAACCCACCCACAATGGAATAGAAGGTTGAGGAGAGGGAGATGGGCCTTGGGTTTGTCACATCATACAATGCAAAATATACTTCTTGAGGTAGCATTCACTTTCAATTCCCTTGCATAACAAAATTACTTTCATGCCTCAGGACCAAGCCCTAAAAGATCATTTTGGAGAAAAGGTGGTGGCAGGATGAATACTGGAGATGGCTGGAAGTCAGAAACTCACCGGCCCAAGTGTCCAAATATTGGATTCCATGGTCAGAGATGCAGGAGTACCTCTCTGGGGACTTAAAATAGATAACTTGCTGCAGAGAGGTCAGCCATAATGCTGGAGTCAACCTCTTTCCCGTGATAAATACCTTCAACCAAGCGAATGTCAGCCTTGATCAGCTTGTTGCCAATAAAAGTAGGCTTGTGCATGGCTCCTTAACACCTTTTTAAAGGCATGGTTTCTTGCTTTCTCCTTGATCTGGGCAAGGCTTGCGTCTTTCTCTCCAAGTGGACAGAATGGGTGATGAGCAGTTATTTCATGCACGTCTGCCACGCCTTCTGCGCTCATGTGAATCGGGGCAATCTGTCTCTTTTATGTCTTTCCTGGAGGTCGTGTTTGTGGCTGTAGCTGAGAATGGCTGTGCTCTGCACCGGCTTCGTCCCATCAGTCCTCACCATGGACACTTGCTCAGACATCAAGTCTCCATCTCTACTCCCGCTGTACCCCGTGAAGTAAAGTAGTGAAGAACAGGCTTTCCCACCGTGATACCACTGTCCTGGTTTCTTGTGTTACAGGCTGCTCCTTCACAGTCCCTTGGGTATCTTTTTGAGGTGACAAAAATGATCTACAATTAACTGTAGTGTTTGTTGTGTGTATCTGTGACTAGACTAAAAGCCACTGTGCTGTTGATTAAGTGAGTAGTAAATTGTGTAGTATGTGAACTTATAGATCTATAAATCTGTTTTTTAAAAACAAAAAATAGTTAAGGCAATAATAAAGGATTAGACATTAAAAATACTGTACAAAAATACTGTACAGAAGATACAAAGAGGCAATTCCCAGAAGAGGAAATGCAAAAGGTCAATGCAGAAGACATGATGTTGACATCAGGGTTTTGTGAAATCAAGCAATAACTTTTTAAAACTACATCAGATTGGCAAGAATTAAAAAATGATAAAACACAGGGTGCATGAAATAATGCAGAGAAGTGGTCTTTTCTTGCACTGCTGGCTAGAATTTAAATTGCTAAATATTTTTAGAAAGAATATTGCCTAAGTACACTAAATTTAAAATATTCCTACTGTTTGACTTCGATGCTTCTCGTAGAAATAAAGTGTGAGTAGTTGTACTTAAAAGAATCCTTTCTGAAGCGTGACAAAAGAAAAATGAGTTGGAAATAGTTATCTATGATGCTTTCCTAACTGTAAAAGGCAAGTTTCAGAGTAAGGGTACAGTTTGAGCTAATATTTTTAAAAAACAAACATTATATATATATATATTCCATTATGGAAACACTGGACAAATACATAATTGTGGACTTTTTTGTACATTTTTTACTGTTTCACTCCTTTCAATGAAAAGAAATTACATCTTTACTTTGAACAAGTCAATTTTAGATTAAGAGGAGAGTGGGTGACATAATTAGAAAGGAGGGGAACACGCTGTTCTTCTGACCTTTTTTTTGTGCGCTCCTTTTACAAACAGTGCGGCAGCCAGAGCGTCGCGTCTACGGGGAGAATTACAGTAACCGGTTGTCAGTGATGAGTCAGAGTGCGTGGTGCTGATGCTGCTGCCATTTCATCACCTTTGCGAGCGCAGCATCCATCCCTCCGCTCTCCCCGAGCCTGGGCCTATCTCGCTTTGGGTTCCCGGGCCAGCGATGCGCTCCCGGCCGAGCTAAATCGGAACTGAACTGCGCTGTACGAGGCCTTGGCGGGGCGCCCGTCCCGCTGCCCTCGTCCCGGGCCTAGGAGACCTGCCAAGCCACGGCCATGGAGGCCATCTGGCTCTACCAGTTCCGGCTCATTGTCATCGGGGATTCTACGGTGGGCAAGTCCTGCCTGATACGCCGCTTCACCGAAGGCCGCTTTGCCCAGGTTTCAGACCCCACTGTGGGGGTGGATTTTTTCTCCCGCTTGGTGGAGATCGAGCCAGGAAAACGCATCAAGCTTCAGATCTGGGATACCGCAGGCCAAGAGAGGTTCAGGTGGGAGCGCAGCCCGGGCCCGCGAGCAGTGGGAGGGTCTTCGGAGCTTGCACAGCCTCTGGGGACAGAGGACTTTGGTTCTAATCGCAGTACAAGGGTCTGGAGGGGTTTTGCTCGAGCCTACCTTGGGCTGACTGGGAGTTCAGTGCAGGGAAAGAAGAACCCTGGCAGGAAAGGCTGCTCAATAACACATATTGCTTGCACCACAACTTCCTCAGCCTGCCCCTGATAATAAACTAGCTTGAGTTGATTATTAGAATTCATCAATCTCAGGCCTTATGTTCCTCACTTTCAAAAATGTTCCCAGGTCACCCTAACATAATTGACACCTACAGATACTATAGATAAGTCACATGTATATTGTTTTATTTCTATATCTCTGTGTGTATATGTATGTGTCTCTGTGTATGCTAACGTGTGTCCTGACATAAAGGAAATAGATACTGATTCATCGATTGATTCTTTCTTGCAGTCACAATCCATTCACTGATCACTACTATGCACAAAACTCCGGACTTGGTTCTTGTAAAGTGTGAGGAGACTCACACAGAGAATACCATGTAATCAAAAACAGATAGAGCCCCTTCCCTCTTGTAACTTCTGTACTAGCATAGTGGGGGAAAATAATCAGCAATTACACAAAAGACTGTCTTGTTTTTATTTGTCTACCAATCCTTACTGTAACACTTGACACATAACAATCAATGAATACAGTTAATTTCCTCTCACAACCCTTTGCTCTTCCTTTGTAGAATATATGACTTGTAATCATATGTGTGAATACAGAGGAGGGAGGCTTAACTGCAGAAGATGAGGCCCAAGACAGGACATGCCCAGAGATGGGAAACACCACAGATAAAGACAGAAGGGAGAGAAAACAGAGTGTACACAGAAAACTTTGCAGAGAACAATTTGAAGTAAAGTCAGGTAGCACAGAAGGCATCAGATAAAAAAGACTCAATAGACCATGTTTATGGTCATTTATTTATTTATCTATTGAACACTAATTGAGCATAGAAAGTATTGGTTAGGTAACTGAAGAGAAGAGATAATTATAAACTTATCTCTAACTTCACACTTCTCTGAACACTGGCAAATATCCTTGTACAGATTCACTTTGAATGTGTGATTGCATCTCATAGCGAAGAAAGGTATCTTGTATATGTTTGTTGGAATTTCTGTATGAACAGTCTGTTCGTATTCACTGCTCCTTATTGACTAGGCAATATTGATTTGTAAGGCTTCTTTACAGTTTATTAGCCCTTTTCTGTCGTGTATGTTGTAAGATACTTCCCCAGCTCGTCATTTATCTCTGCCTTTTTTTAATTTAGGGAAGATGTTAAGTTTTGTTCGGTTTTATGTTGTCCTTAGAAAGGGCTTTGCAACTTGCTTTGCTAACTATTCACAAGCCACTAATACAATAACACATTTCTAGAGTTTAGACAGGCTCCTACGGCTTACTTATTGATTTCTTGAATCACACTTTTAACAAATCAGAACTTTTGTTCATGTCTAATTTTCTAGTATACATATCATTAGTCACCAATCTTTAATCATAGTCTTTAATCATAGAAATATTTTCATTCTCTGGGGCTGATTTGCCTAGTTCTGGAGACTTGAACTCATTTGTAACGTTTGCTCTAAACCATAATCCAGATTGGACTGTAATTTCCCAATTTTTATTCTGTTAACATGGGGCATTTTCCCGAAGCTTTAAGCTATTGAGTCATTCATTGTTTATCTTCTTCATCCAAAACAAAAAACAAAAAATAGGAATACATCACCAATCACAGTACTTGTCCACCCTCTAATAAGCTCATGCATTCTAAACAAATCTATATTTTAAAATGAGGTTCATCAAATGAAGAAATTAAAATATGTGAATGAGATTTCTTCTTTTTAAGAAGTACAGCAAAGCTGGGCATGGTGGCTTATGCCTGTCATCCCAGCACTTGGGAGGCTGAGGCAGGAGGATCGCCATGAGTTCAAGGCCAGCCTGGGCTACATAAGACCTGTCTCACCACCACCACCCCCAAAAATAAGAAGTACAGCGAATATATCATAATTTACTTCCTTTATTTACATTGTAATCAATCCTCATTATAATGATTTACATGAACTATAATTTTAAGGGGAAGACTTGCTTAGGTTGTTTTTCTCAGATAGTCCTGAGTCAGCCTCTCTGAAATTTGCCAACAAGTAGTGCAGAGAGGCATTTTGCTCCGGAAGCCTTCACCATCCCTTTTTTCCCATTCCCACATGGCCTGGAGAATAAAAAACAAAATTATGTTTCTCCTCACAGAAGAGATTGAGGACCCCTGTAGGATGATAATAATAATAGCAATAATGGAAAGACAGAAAGGGTCATAAATTTTAAAAATGGAGTATAATGCAAGATAACTACAGGTATAATTTAACTCTCATAAATTCATTTTTATTCTTAAAACTCCCATTTCAATTGCTAGTGTTTGTAATGAACCGTCCATGATTCAGAACAGTTTAGCATCCATTATTTCATTTTGCCTCCCCAAAACCCTGTGACTTCGGGATGTTATTATGCAGAAGAGAAAGTCTCTGTTAGTTATTTAGATTTGGGAATAGGATAATTAGTTGTGGTTCCACTGGAAGGCAGGAAATAAACTCAGTCATCTCCCAAGGTCATTTTCCAATGTTTAATCAAAGGAAAATGCCTGAAGTTCCATGAGCATTCATTTCTAGAAAATGCCATCTCAAAATTTTACCCAATTGAAAATTCACATATCATTAAAGAATGGCATTGGTATTTCCTTGTTTAAAAAAAAGAAAGTGACTTTTACTAAAGGACTGTGTCATTAACCAGGAACCCTAAAATACACTGAGTTCATTGGAGTGCAGGAGTTTGGGCACAACCTTTATTCTTTACTTCTTTCTTGTGTTTTAGATCCATCACTCGCGCCTACTACAGGAACTCAGTAGGTGGTCTTCTCTTATTTGACATTACCAACCGCAGGTCCTTCCAGAATGTCCATGAGTGGTTAGAAGAGACCAAAGTACACGTTCAGCCCTACCAAATTGTATTTGTTCTGGTGGGTCACAAGTGTGACCTGGATACACAAAGGCAAGTGACTCGCCACGAGGCCGAGAAACTGGCTGCTGCGTACGGCATGAAGTACATTGAGACGTCAGCCCGAGATGCCATTAATGTGGAGAAAGCCTTCACAGACCTGACCAGAGACATATATGAGCTGGTTAAAAGGGGGGAGATTACAATTCAGGAGGGTTGGGAAGGGGTAAAGAGTGGATTTGTACCAAATGTGGTTCACTCTTCAGAAGAGGTGGTCAAATCAGAGAGGAGATGTTTGTGCTAGTCAGCCCTTTTATTTCCAAAACATGCTCTCCCACATGAACCTAAAAGTGGTCAAAACAAATAGAACCCTTATGTGACTGAAGAGAACTCAACCTTTGGATACCAAGGGAGCCTCCTTAGGGGGTGGGGGGCTTTTACGGGCTTCTGTGTGGGTGGATGGGGAAGCCTGGATGCTGTGACACATGTTTGGCAGTCGCTGTTCCATGTGGCCTTTGTGGACATGTTAAGGGCCTGGGGTTTGGGAAGCTAGGTCCCAGGAAAACATACCTATAGACAGGACAATTGTTCCTTGATACTTCAGCTTGTTCATAAGTCATGCCCATAAATATGTAAAGGGAAAATATCATATTGGGAACAATTAACATAACGTAACAAAGAGTATGAGATCGACTTAATTCAATGAGAGTATCTTATGCCAAATGTGTGCGCTTGGTTTGATTAAAAAGTATCAATTTGCTTCTAACAGCTCTCCTGTAAAATGAGGGGTATGGATCAGCAATTTTCTAAGGCCTTTTCAAGGCTTGGTGTTCTAGTAAAAGGATGTGAATAGGAAAAGGGAGGTAACTTGCACACTATTATTATGACATTTGAGAAAATGTATACCCTTGTGGTAGAGTTACCACCTGTGTCAAATCAATTGTCTCATGAAAATTACCACATAAATAGCACACTGGAACCTAAACACCTGACCATACCTGAAGTTTCACTGCTTTGGCCACTGCAAACTCAGAGTGAGCAGTCTGCTTGCTTCTTCAGGCATGTGACACAAACAACACAGGAGTTGCTTCTGAAAAGAGCCCTGAGGCAAACCCTTTCACCAAACCGATATGGAGCACCTGCTCAACAGGAAGCACGGTTAACCCTTACAAACTTGTTACAGTTACTCTACTTCTTTGATCACTGCAGCAGGCCTGTGAAGTTTTCTCCCCCATTTAACAGAATAGTAAACCAAGTGCAAGGACACTCACTGGATCATTATTCTGTCAGATGAATAAACGATTATTCATTTACCTTGGAAGACATATGACTGTAAATAAATGTTCTCTCCAGGTTAGGATATGTTTCCCTATTGATTACAACTCAGCTATTATCTTGAGGGAACCTGGGAATGAATCAAAGGAAAAGCCCATTCAGGTATTCTTGGCAAGAGGACTTTAAACAAATGATTTAATTGCACATCTGAAAACACATTAGAATTGTGTGAGCTATAAGTGTTCTTACCACTGAAATACAATGGACATTTTATTGAAGGAACCAAATACAGCAACGGGGCCTGGGATGGGCATAAAATACTCATCCCTCAATGACCTTGTCACCTGTCTGCTACATACCTACACAGGGTTCCTATCTACCCTAGAGAGTCAGCTCTTAATTCTCAGGGGAACAGACAGATAACTGCTTCAGCAAATCGGAAT